TAAGGAGTTTTTTTAATTTGTTGTACGACATACTTTCGTACATGGGTCAGGTTTAAGTTCAAGCAAGGAGGTTACTTAAGTTCAAAATTAAAACATTCGCTTAAAATATTATCTAAACAGAAATTTAATTACTATTCAGGTACTTATACTACTTAAATAATTATGCAAAATTTCTTTTATTAGATTTTAATTATTTTCTGTATAAAAATTTGCTTTTTTTTACGTTGCATCATGGCTGTATACGTGTATGCTTTTTACAAGATTTTAGTTCGAGTTGTATTTATCTATGGAAAATAGCTAACTGGCGATCAGTTGATAAAAAAAACATCAAATCCACAATTGTTGTGTTGTGAACCATATTTATTAATACCAGAAATAAACATTGTATTTATTTCCTCGCCAATGTGATGAAAATTATTACATGTATCACGGACGATAAAAAAACACAAAACTCGTTTTTAGTTATTAAGCTTTTATTGTAGCAATCAAGCAATATATACTTATTGTCTAATAAAAAGATTTTAAACTTTAAGATTTTAGACCGACTGGCCTCAGTTATTGCTGTTAGTTATTAATGTTAATTACCGTATTTTTTAACTGAGTTAACAAAAGAGGAGGTTCTTAAAACGAATGTATTTTTTTGTGTGTATCTTATGCGATTATTTCGGTATTTGTGAAGTGATTTCGGTGATTCTTTTTTGTTGGAAAGAGGGTACATCAGTATTGGGCCCATCTAAATTTGAAGAAAATATTCCACATTTAAGGGTGGCAAACTAGGGGATGAATCCGGTTTCGCGCACTTTCCGGTAACCAATTTAAATAAAACTTGGCAAATGGATGTAATTCCACGAATTTTTGAGGTCGGTTTTTGTTTATTGCAAGGGGATCGAAGCGAGGAAGGGTGAAGAAAGAAAGACGCTTGAATCTCCAAATGCGCAACGGCTTTTATTGACGTAGTTGTATGATCGATATAGGAGACGTAATCGCGCTCTTCCTCGATGTTAGCTCACCGTCCCACCCGGTGGAACTACTGGAATGTCACTCATAGGCCCTATGATCCGATACAAAGCAATTTCCTATAACAGCTTACATGGTAAGTTAACACTTCTATAGCGCGTTCTATTTTGATCCCAACGCCATCTAGCGGCAAGAAGAGGTTATTAATATTTCTTGTACGTGGTGTTACATTATAAAAAAGTTACAATTATAAGCTCTAGTTGTTTGTGCCACGAAATAATTTATTGTTGCCGAGTTGATGACAGATAACCTTAGTCGAGGAGCGCCCTGTCATATGGGACAAAACATTAGAAGAATACAAAGTCATCTTTGAATATTGAATAACAAATGAATGCGGCACTGAGGAGCTCACCGTGAGTTTCTACGATACGACGTCGAGCCGTGAGTCGTGTCATGAATTTTTACGTTGCTCGTCGTAGATTTCCACGATACGACGTCGCATCGTGAAACGATGCCGCCTCGTAGCACGACGCGACGTCTTATCGTGTTTATGTGTAAGAGCCCTTAGGTACGTAGCGCCGGTCATTTTGACCCCACACGTCTCCGATAGTGACGTAAATCGCAAATCTTCGTATTACCGAGATTGAAAACATCAGTTGTGTACACTTATGTTTGCGACTGTGTTTTATTGAGACCTTGATATTAGCTCACCGCGCCATAGGCTGAATAATCAAACTACTTAATCTGTTATACAAGGTGTACCAAAAAGTAGAAGTCATATTTAAGAATACGCAGTGAACTTATTATTTCGCATGTAATTGAAGAGTCTATACAATTTCAAATGGCTTTTTTTAACCGATTTCAAAAAAGGAGGAGGTTTTCAATTCAACTGTCTGTTCTTTTTTTTTGTATGTATGTTACGCGATAACTCCGGTATTTGTGAACCGATTTTCATGATTCTTTTTTTGTTGGAAAAGGGGTACTTCCATAGTGGTCCCATTTCATTTTGAAGAAAATCATCCACCTCGAAGGGTGGCTGTTCACGCATGAAGATTCATTTTTATAAATAGCGCCTAACTTCAATTTAGGAGCAATTACTTTAATGGTTGATTTTGCTATTTCTCCAATTCAAGGCGTTTTTCTCTCAATATACTTTGTGTAGTGTCGTAGTGAGAACCTATTTTTATTATCTCCAGTGTCAAGTCCTGTATAGTAGCGAACTAGGGGATATTTCAATAAAACTTAGCAAATAGACGTAAATCCACGTACTTTTGAGGTCGGTTTTTTTACTACTCTGTACTGAGATTATTACAATATCAAGTGACGGGACGAACAAGTCGTGCGCCTGACGGTAAGCTACACGCCTGTCCATAACATTTGCAGTGCCACTCAGAGCTTTAAATCGCAACTACCACTGCACCCTGAGACATAAGTTGACAAGTTCCATGTGCCTGTAATTTCACTAGCACCCTTATCATTCAAAACCGGAACACAGTAATGCTGACATTACTGCTTGGCGGCAGAAATAGGTAAGGCAGTACTTCCCTGGACGAAATCTTTCACAAGAAGCTCTACTGTTACTAAAGTTTGGCTTTGGTTGCTTCCGTATGACAGTGAAAGTGTTGAGTGAATCACTTTGGAAAAAATATGTAGTAAAGTTGAGGATAATTATTATACACTGATTACTATAGGGCGTGAAAACACGATTTTGAAAAATTTTCACGACAGAAAAAAGACAAAGTTAACTCGAATTTTTACAAGAAAACCTCTGTACTCAATAGTAATAGCTTCCGAGCAGTGTGTGGCTAGCCTGTAGTAAAGGCTGATCACTGATGTAAGTTGCCTATCATAGGTAGAGCACCAGCTAGGGATATTCACCCCTTCAGCTGTGAGGAAGAGGGATGTAGTCTAGGCTCTACTCTATGAGTAGAATCACTGGCTGAATGAATAGTTTTGTAATTAGAATGTGTTATAAAAAAGGAAGTAAGAAAAGAATGGAGCATCTTGACATTATTGAATTGTAACCCAACGCCGAAACTATGTGAAAGAATACAATAAACCATATTTTGAAGATTATTCCACTTTAAGTTCATAAAAGTGCCTCTCGCTACGCATCCTAAGCTACGCCCCAGTTACAGTACTTTACATATCGCACTGTTAATACAATAGTGTATTAACTCAAAAAAGGACGAAAAACGAATTACTCACTACCTGCAAAAAAATAATTAAAAATTAGCGATTAAAAATTAATGACACTTAGAGTCGTATTCTAGAACTCTACTCAATGCTCAAGTTAGGATTTGAGTATGGTTTAAAGCACTTGATATCGTACTCAAGTCCCTGCCATTAGGGTCGTATTTCCAGTGCTTGTGTTGCCAGTGCAATCCTGACTTGAGCATTGAATAGAGTTCTAGAATACGACCCTTAAACAATTTCTCAAATATATTTAAAAATAAAATGGAAAAAATAATTTCAAGTTTTAGAATAAGAATTACTTTGCCCAGAAATAGCTCACATAAAGTGTCTCATTTTGAGTTAAGAGATATCTTTTGATCGTTTCTTACAATATTCTAACGACGGTTTTTTTGACGTGTAAAGAATCAAATTTTACATTCACTAATGACATAATATGAAATTTCACATATTTTGAGTTACAACACTATTGTAATAGCTGTGCGATATATGATTTTTATTTATATCAACGGAACTAAATAGAACACGTATAATGATACGATTTTATGTTTGAAATGGTATTAATTTCTTTCGTAAAAAAATTCTGAAATAAACCCAGTGTTCCGGGCGCTCGATCCAAGCAAACTGAACAGTGTTGTAAGTACGGGAAAAATATGAATTCGACTTGACGTAGTATCGACTATTAAGGATATGAACCATTGACATACAATTATATGGACGTCGGGTCCGCGCTAAAAAGTGTCCGCACTTGTAAGGCGCTAAAATCGTATACAGAGCGCCAAACTCCGCTTTAGTCTTAATTTGTTCTACTGACAGCGCGATACTGCGATGACATTACAATTTAAATTTCGAATAGGTTGACTTGGGACATTTTTTTCGTGGTTTTTGTATTAGACCCGTCGTCCATTTATTTGTAAGTCAATGGTATGAACCTACTATTAATGAAATCGAAAACTGAGTCTGTACTTTTGATCATCATCATCAACCCATTTAATAAGTCCCACTGCTGGGTCTCCTCTCGGTCGAGGGCTTAGGCCACAGTCCGGAGACTTTACACACTTTCCGAGGGTTGTGAACCTTCTTCATAGTCCAGGTTTCATCAGGGTGGTTTCAACGCCACGGCCTCTGTTTGAGAGGCGGCAGGTAGGTCAAACCATTACATAGTCCATTTCACATAGCATGGGTACAGTGACGTTTGAGATTTGTAATTTCTAGACATTTATTTTAAGAGGAATAGTAATTTATTTATGAATAATCTCAGTACAAAGTACTAAAAAATTGACCTCAAAAGTACGTGGAATTACATATAATTACCAAGTTTTATTGAAATCGGTTACCGGAAAGTGCGCAAACCCGGATTCATCCCCTAGTTCGCTACTATACGGGACTTGACACAGGAGATAACAAAAATCGATTCTCACTACTCAAAGTATATTAAGAGAGAAAAACGCCTTGAATTGGGAAATAGCAAAACCAACCATTAAAATAATTGCTCCTTATAACAAAATTTAGGCGCTATTTATAAAAATGAATATTCATGCGTGAACACCCTTAGAGGTGGATGATTTTCTTCAAAAATGGCACCACTACGGAGGTCTCTTACTTCTCGGTACTCTTTCCAAAAAAAAAAAAGAATCATCAAAAAATCGGTTCACAAATACCGGAGTTATTGCGTAACATACATACAAAAAAAAAACATACAGTCAAATTGAGAACATCCTCCTTTTTCTGAAGTCGGTTAAAAATAGTGACGGGTGACGTAACATTAATACGAGGATTAAAAATGACGGACATAACATTAATATGAGGAAAAGGTTTATGAATTTGGGTACTATGTTTACGTGTGACAGAAAATATGAAAGAGACATTGAAAGCAGACTGAGCGCAGGGAATCAGGTGAATGGTGCCTTGCATGCCTTCATGAGCAGCCAGAAAGTGTCTAAAAAGGCACGATTGGTTGTACATGGGGGGAGCTGGTTCCTACACTTATGTATGGTTGGTAGTGAATGTTGGGTTTGGCAGAAGAAGCACGAAAGTAGAATTAATGCAGTAGAAATGAGTAGAGCTTTGAGGAGTCTGGCTGGAGTAACTCGGATGGATAAATTACGGAACAGTGTGATAAGAGAGCGTTGTGGCGTGGAAGAAGATAGAGAAATAGAGAAAAAGATAGAGAAAGGGATGCTAAGATGGTTCGGACATGTAGAGAGAATGAATGAAAGAAGATTGACGAAACAGATTTATAAGGCGAGTGTGAGCGAGCAAGTTGATATGGGCCGACTTACCATGGCAAGGCGAACTTACCATGACCAAATTGAGGCCACCCTAAAGAAGGGCCAGGCCAAGAGTACTCTTAACCGACGAGCGTGTATGGAAGCATTGTTGCGTGTTGATGAGGCGAAATATGTGTGTCAGGACCGTAGCAAGTGGAAGACTGTTGTCTCTGCTGACCCCGACGGGAAAAAGGCGTGAAGTATATGTATGTATGTAATAAAAATAAACTAGCTGTTGTTGATAGTCGTCTTCACAAAGTCACAAATTCATTTAAGTGGCAATGTATACGCTTCTATAACAAGATTCCGGTAGATATATAAAATTTGCCATTCACGATGTTTAAAACTATAGTGAAACAAAAAGTTTATAAAGGTTATTATACGACTTCTGCACCCATAGGAGGTAGTCACGATCTCTGACGTTTGAAAACAAAAAAATATATATTGTAAATGTTGAATACAAGTGTTATTTACAAAGAGCAACCCCTAGAGTTACTTGCTCATTCTGCTCAAGGGAATCTGCTTTACGAATGAGCGGTAGAGTTTAACCAATATGACTATTTCAAGTGTAATAATGTTATGAAATAAAGATTATTTTGATTTTGATTTTTATTTTAGATGTAATGATGTAAAATCGAATGAAAAATCGATTTACATATCTTATTTAGATAGTTTATAACGAAGAGAGTATCGATTTAGAATTACAGTTTAATATAGTTTAGTAGCAGTAGAGAAGTTCTGAATGGTAAGGGCGTGGCAGTGCGCCGCAGATCTTTGAGATTTAAAGCTCAGGGATACTGCAACTGTTATGCACAGGCGTGTAGTTTACCATTAGGCGCACGACTTGTTCGTCCCGTCTCTTGATACTATATACAATAAGAATAAATAATAAACGAAATAAAAAGGGTTTATTTATTATGTTATTAAGTTACTAAAACACTACACAACAATTTAAAACATCAACAACAACCGAACAAAAATTCAACAAAAAAGCATAAAATCGACAGCAATGCAACAAAATTTTAACAATTACTCCAAATACATCACGTAAAGCTCAAAACAAAAGAAATAATATATATCTATAATAAATATTTATTTCGTATTTTTGAATGTGCACTACATGGCTGCGAGTGACTTTAGAGTGGTTACACACGGCGACTTCTGCGATTCTGCAAACTCTCAACTGCCTCCTTACAAGCGCAGTCGCGCGACTGCAGCGCTGCTAAAAGTCTCCGTGTGTAACAGCTCGTAGATGTCGTCGTAATTATACTTAACTATAGTAACTACAGTACAGCGTTTTTTATCTGCAAACTTAAGGCCGTAAAGTGATTATTTTTTGTAACAATTACTCTCGGGTTGCAAGACATCTTTTATCGTCATTGTGAGTGTCCTTTGTGGCCCGCAACTCCATTAACGCCCACTCGGCGGTCTGAACAATGCCCTATAACTGAAAATCTATACAGAGTGTTTAAATGGAACAGTATGGGGAAATCATAGAAGATACAAGGAAACTGTCATATGTCCTTCAAAATGAATTAAATGGAGCAAATTTTTTTTAGTGCGTATCAACTTGGTTTTATGTAAGGATGATTTCATTCACGAAAAAAATCGGGACAGCGGAAAAAGAAAATTTCGTAAAATATTTTTCATACACAATAAATAAAATTGACTATTTTTTATTAATGCTAATAGTTTCAGTTTCTTATATGATGGGATGATTGCTGGTGAAAGCGCATATGGTACTTGTCAACTTATGTCTTAGGGTGACGGGCGCAGTGGCAATGCAACTGTTATGGACAGGCGTGTCGCTTACCATCAGGCGCACGACTTGTTCGTCCCGTCACTTGGTATTGTTGTAATCTTTATTTCTTGTATGAATAAATCGCTTCACAACACAACATTTACGGTTTTTGGGAATGGCAGGTTTTTGTTTTTTTTAACAGACTGCCAGCTATTCTTCCATAGATAATACAACTCAAACTAAAATATTATAAAACGCACATAAGCATGCAATTGGCCATTATTCTACTAAACCGCATGCAGCCACAACGTATTACATATAAATAATTTACATATAAATAATTTTCAAATTCTAAAAATACTACGTTATTTGAATAAACAAAATAAATTTAGTAAAATATAGTTCAATTTCGAATGTTTAGTTTTTAGATATACTTAAAGTTTGTGCCAAATACACTTTCAGATTTTTCGAGCATAAAAACTTTTTGCTTAATCTTGACGTTAAAAAATCTGTAGGGCTATAATGTAATGAAAAAGTGGGCATAATTTAGAATATTACGGTTGATTTTGCCTGTATGTCTTGACGCCGTTTACGAGCGCGTGCTCGTCGACGCACCATACGTGTGATGAAAAATATTTATAACAGCCAACGTGGCCTTATTGAAGGTACTAATTTCAATCTTTACTAACCGTAGAATAAGTTCACACCTCTATATTTACTAACACATATGAATCTATTGTTATTTGTAACTGTGAACTGATAAGCATTTTTCTTTGTTTCAGGAGTGTCCCGAGGGCGTGGTCCAAGAAGATTCATTCAAAGACATTTATGCCAAATTCTTCCCACACGGAAGTAAGTATTCCGATAGTATGAGCATAAAGATATTGAGTTTACTTTATTTCAGAATTTGTTTTTTTTTACTAACAAAATTAAAGCCACTCAGAAAAAATTCCTTCGATCCGGTCGGATTCGAACCGACGTCTTCTTGCTTACCGTACCAGACGCTATACCAACTAAGCCACGGAACGAACCAACGGACCTCACGAATTCTTCTATGTGCTTGCGTCGTGTCTTTGTACTTGGTCTTTCAACGACTTTTTAGTCGTAGCGCCATCTATGAGAAATCTATTACAGATTTATCACCCAGTTAGTACCTTTACAGCTACCAGTCCTTTAATTATTAATACCAATCTTTGTATTAATAATTATAACAAACTAGTGGAGTAATTTCACAAAAAATAATTGATATTCAATTATTTTTTGT